AAAAGTAATTTTGTTTTTATTTCTTATAAAAACAAAATTAAATATTATTAAATATTTCACTATCTTGATTAAATATTTTAATCATTTTCGATGCTACTTATGCAGACATTATTTTAACTGAACACTGTCTATACTTTACGCGAGTAGTACACATTGATTTGAAAATGATATTTAACTGGGGCATTACGTTTCGGATGCTTTGCAGCAGCCGTGGTCACGGGGTATATTATATATCGCGATTTAAACCGTTAAAGTGTTTTATTTAAATACGTATTTTAATTGTTCAGTTTTAGACGGGTAGTATATAAAATATTTTAAAGGTACTTGGTGCATTTGTGTTGCAAGATAGCTGATTTGTACGTAAATACCATTTAGATTCAGCATTTGTTTAAAGTGGCAGTTACACAATATTTCAAGTTATTTTTTTCTAAGAAAAAAAAACAGTGCATTTGTCGTTTAATAATTTTCGCACGGAATGCCCACGATCTTTGACTCTGACAGGAACCCATTCATCCGGCCGACCCATCAAGCGGTACTTTAATATTAAATCCCGTAGTTTTCACTTATATGGCCGCGCCCATCAATTAATTCTAAATGTCATATGAATTGAGGTTTTTGATGCATAAGTCATAAGCGGAAGCGGTAGCGGCATCATTGTATGATTTGTCTTGTAAGGGTAAAGTTTTAATGAAACAACCTTTCTACTGGGAAACAATATCGAGAAGCAATATAATATTAAAGTCAGTTAGTCAGTTCTATTGAGTATATAGCAGTAAGATATTTGAATGCGTAAAGAAAACCTTAACATGAACGTTAATGATCAGAAAGGAATTCTATCGAGAATATAGGGGGATAAAAAAAACATTTACATATTCACAAGAACTATAAACCAAATTAACTATTGAGTACAATCAAGACAACTATAAAACAATATATATAATAAAGCTTAAAATTAAACAATGGCATAATCTCTTGCAACACGGCTTTTCAGTGGCTCCTGGTTCCTTTAAACACTTTACGCAATGAACAGACCGTAAATGTAATTATATTTTTAATGATATACATCTTAAAAATTTTAATTATGTACGTTTACTTTACTTTGTTTGTAATAGGAATAAATGGTAGCTGTGTTAATGCACTTAGCGATTTGGTCCGCCCTGCGCTTTTGGCTTAACGTGTACCCTCGACATTTACAATTGGTAAATTTTTGCCCGAAATTCGCCAGAAGCACTGAATACTTGCACAATCTGTCGCTGCTAATTTATGAACATTAAAGTTACGGAAAATGAATTATTATCATTTAGGCACTCCAATTATATTTTTTGTAGTAAGTACACTTTTATGTTGTATAATTCAAAGTGTTAAAAATATAAGGTTAAGGATGTGAAAGAAGATATAAAATTAAAATGTATTTTAAACAGATTTGCCACCTTTCGAGATGTACATACAAGAAAATAGTATAAATCGTGATCGGATAACTAATATAGCACTAAATATATCTTTTCATCTTGTCGCCTTGCTATAAAAATCGTACGATCTCTTAAAAAACCACAAAAGGTCATTTCCAAAATTAAGTCATCAGCGAAATAATAACCATTCCGAAACGGGCTAATTGGTTAATGTATGCTTGAAAATTTGCAACCGGTAAAGATGTTATCAAAAATGCTCGCCGAGATACCGGGGTTACATAATTGAAGGGAGACAAACACACTGGACGATTTATAATTGACATTTTTAAAGGTAAAGGCTGAAGTATTGACAGATCATAATGTCACGCGGTTAATCAGTATTAAAGGTTTGTTTCGTTGAAAATATTTTGGGACGACCGGCTCTATAGCTCAATGCTAATTATTAAATATTAAACAAGAATTGCATATTCATCAAAAACGTAATAAAAATCTCAGAACAAAAGATAAAGATGCTGTCGACGGTTTCCAATTCTGTTATTTTCCGTTTAATTCATAGAAATGAGGACTTAAGAACCGTCGGCGGATTTCAGAACACCCTGTGAACCTGGTGCATGCAAAATAATGAAAGGTTATCGTGTATTCCTCCCGTGTGAGAGTTAACGGACCCCTCATTACGAACGCGGGTGGTCACTAATGTCCAGCTACCGCGCCCTCTGCGGTCACTGTCAATTCTGGTTTTTGTAGGACATTTTTGTATGGCTTAATATAGTTGGTTAGTAGAATTTTTTGATGTGTTGTGTGTAATGTGTTATGTGACCTACAAAACCTAGAGATAATCGGTTCTATAACAATAACAATCTTCTAAGATTTTTTTTTCACCTTTTTTTTGAGTTTTAGTATAAAAATATTTTCATCCGAATTTTTGTTATACCCTCTAATAACCGCTTATAAAAATACATGACATCAGTCAACTAGTAAATATCTATATATAATAAATCAAGTAACTATCTGAGAAGATATCTTCTCATAACTGTAACGTCGAGTTGTTGTTAAAATATATAAATGCCTAATACATTTCGCGTTTTAAACTCGATTTCATTCCATTACAAAACCGCTGTGACTATAGGTCACACATGACAAATATATTTTTTTATTCTAATAGGAAAACACTTCTGCATAAGTGTTTGTTATTAGATGTACTTCTCGATATACCAAATTAAATTAAAATGTACCTACCGAAATCAATAACTAAAATTAAATTTAAAAAGTGAATTACACAAAAATTATTAATACAGAGTAAAACATGGACCTCCTAGGCCTACCGCACGTCACTACTACGATCCAAGCTTTATCACTACTAACAACTTAGATTTGTATGTAATTTTTAAATACATATTGTAGTATTTTTATACAAGCTTTTAAACAGTACATATTATTAGTAAGTATAGGATTTCGGCCCCTGGTAGCTTTGGCGCAAATTACCTTACGCTGATTTAGACATTATCTTGATTATATAATTAATATCTACGACCGTTTTCTTTGACAGTTACGAAACAAAATAGAACCATACTTACGGTTTCAAACGTGAAATATTTTTAATACGGTCTGAAGTTTCAAATGCTTTTCAACAGCTATGGTCACGGGAAGACACGGGAAGTATCGGGTCGTATTTAATTTAAATTATAAATAATTTAACTAACATGTTAACTCTTTTAAACAGTTAAAGTGTTCTTTTGAATGTGTACTTCTCGCGTAAACGACAGAAAACACATAAAATAGAAGATAAAAAATAAATAGGACTTATTGAACACGAACAGGTTAAGAGCAAAAAATAGTACTTCAGTTGAATATAAATTTAATAGCACCAATGCATTAAACATTTGCGACAAAGGGCTATTTAAAAGTCGTGTAATATTAATGAGAAAATTTCTTAATATATCGACCTAATTACTCTTAAAAGCTCTTGTTTAACACTTAAATTTTGAAAGCGTTATCAAGCGCACCTTGATTGCACATTTAAAGCAAACAGATTCTTAATTGTTCGTTAATGATTCATACATTTTAATAGAAAGGATATAAATTAAATGAAAATTGCATCTTAAAACGCCGGGGCTAAAGTTTTGACTTTGACATTAGGGACGGGACACCCTCCATCTGCAGTCCCCCGTGACCCCGACTGCTGCAGAGCATCTGAACGTCGCGTCAGGCGGTAGTTAAAATAAATCGATTGACATATTTCGCGTTTTAAACCGTTAAAGATGTTTTAAACATCTTCCTGTGTAAATTCTTTAAATTGTCATTTCGCGATAGCTACTAGGCGCACAGCAGACACGTAGAGACAGCGAGTATGTATTTTTGTAACGCGCCGTCTGTGCGAATTACTGACAGAAATATGACTATTACTGTATCTAATGTCATATGTGAAATATGACGTCGCGGTGTCTGGCGAGACTGTTTTTTATATCACTAGAGACTGCTGAAGAAAATTCAAGTAAATTCTTAATATTTACGAATAAAATATTTGCATTTTTCTAATATTATCGTAAAAGTAATGTGAGTACCTACTTAGTTTATAGTATCAATTAATTAAGAGTTCAGAGGAAGGAGAAAAAGGATCCCCTATTTATTTGATGGAATTTACCTCAACCATATATAATATGGTTATTCGGAAAACCACAGACTAAAAACTAAACGCAATTAAAGTTAACTTCCGATCCGGAAGAAATAAGGATATTTCTGCCATCCAGATACAATGACCAACATTTTTCAAAAAAGTCCGGTAATCAAAGCCACGTCTCGTTGATTATTAACAATACCTATACCAATAGACTAACGAGCATTCTCAATCACGCGAAACGCAAAGAGAGAAAAGAGAAAAGCTCTATCTCGCCTATAAAAATCCAGGCGCCCAAACTCATAATTTAATTTCGTCTGGGTTGCCGCTAAATATAAATTTATATGAATCACAACACTCGAGCGCGTATCGTTAACAAAGTGTTGATTAATTAGTTATAAAATTTCTTTACAAGTTCCAGAAATATATTCAATGCGCTGAATTTTTTCCCGTTTCCACTTAAAATATTAACGAATGGAGTGACATCGTAAAAATTGTTAGGAATTCAAATCTATTTCGTTTCTTCTCTGTTTATTATATATATTTTTTTAAAGAATATAGATGTTATGCAATAGTTAATGCTCGTTACGTTAAAAGTACTCGCCAAATGCAATGTTAGTTTGTTATGTGCCGAAAATTATTAGTGAAAGTACTTCTCTTTCCTCTATGCACTTACGTTTTTACATTATCATAAAATGGGGATTTTCAAATTATATATTTAATATATTCATTTACGTTTTTCTATGGTTATTCGAATAATACTAAGAAGCTGTCTAAGTAGCTAAATGGTTGAACGCGTTGCCTAGCAGTGCGTTAAGCGCGAGAGATTCGAATCCCGGGGAAACAATAGATTGTTTTGTTCGGGCAAGGCACAGAAGTCTTATCAACTAACCTTACATACACTATTTCTACAGAAATAGGATATATATATATATATTCAACACCAGAGGTGTTACAGGACCGAGGCTTCAAGAACCTTATATTAGTATATTTGTCATAAAAATTTTCTTCATAAGAAACTGCGAGGCTATCATTGGTGGGGCATTGAATTCGTCTGCGACATAGGAAGCACGCATCAGCCAAGGCCATGGTGCGACGTGGGCACCACCCGACTCCATTGTCCATAGCCAATCATCAGTGTCGACTTCCCATCCAAACGAAGCGAGTCGTTCAAGAAGTAAGATGTATACAGTATACATTTAGGCTGGTTATTAATACCGAGTTCCAGACTACAATAAGACATTCTGAATTTAAAATTAAGATTGTTATCGATTAATTTAAAAAAATCAGGTAATGTACGGGTTGAACCTGACAAAAACAAAATACCTACAGCTTAGACGTAATATAGTAACGTGCAGTTTATCTGTGGTTTCTGCGATTAAACATTTCAACAAAACACTTTTAACGTTTTAAAACGTGAAATATATTAGTTATCGTATTTTTCATTTAATTTAACTACGGCCTGACGATATGGATGTCCTAGGAAGAGAATGAGCAGGTGTCCCTAATGTCAAAGTCGCTAATAACGCCATCTATTTCGTCGTAGTTGGTATTTGGAGATATCTCGGGAAACTTAATATATCTCGTGTTTAACACCGTTAAAAGGGTTTTATTTCGTAATATGCATTGTCTTGTTAGTGGGATTATTAATTTTAGACACGAAAATGATTTATAAGCGTAGTAGAATGAAAAAACACGTCTAATAGGATAGTATGTCCGCCGGAGCGCAACGCACATAATGGTGAACCCGCTGCCCGTAACGTCTATTATAAAATAAAAGCTCTTTAATAAGACATGTGACTTGGACAACGGCCGAAGAGTTTTGAGGGACATTCATATCTTCTACCTTAAGTGATAACTAGTTCTTAAGGATTATAGAAGACTTAAGGCAGTACCTACATTTTCTTACAATTACATTAAATAACATTGTAACTTTACACATACACTTTTTATGCCGTGGGCATATATAACAGTAAGGTATAGACAGGTCAAAAATCATCTAGAAGATTTCTAAAAACCAAAGCTTACAAGATAAGTTAAAATTCTCTTTCATATCTTTCCTTTCTTCTTGATAAATTGAGTTAGAACTTAGTAGCTTAAGCTACACTATTTTTCCAATACCTGGTAAACCTATCTCTGTATGTGTAAACCAATAAATATAGGTATGATAAAAACAAACATTAAACGAAATACGCAACCGTTCATAAAACATTTTCCACTATTAACATAGTATTTCCGGGGAATTTTCCCGATAATGAAAGAATTCACGTGGAATTTGAAAAAAGAGACAGATTTACAATCGAATAATGGGAGTAGGGAACATTAACAAAGGAAAAACGATGGATAGCATCCAGAGATATAAACATTTTGCTAAGAAACAAGCCGAGACGTAAACAACTCAAGCGCCACTCGCTTGTACCCCACTTACGAGCAATTAACCGTAGATAGCATTAGACTATACGTAGCTTCGACCGCGTATAACCATTTTCCTTAAGATGAATAGACCAGCGAAGAAGCGATTTATACTAATTTAAAGGTCCTTTTAGTGTTCAATAATCCTAAAAATTATTAGCAGCTTTTAAAGCCAATAAAAACCAAGTTCGTGTTCTTTGAATATTCATAAAATAGTTAATCAAAACCAAATTGACAGTTAAAGTTTTTACCTGATAGCTATTAATAAATAAACATTGAATGAATCGAAAGCGATGTTTACAATTATAATTATTGTCTTATCGAAACGACAGCACATAAAATACAGCTCATAAAACACAATTAGATAATATTCATTGGAAATCTCTTAATAATTAATATAATTTATTTATAAGTATGTTTAATATAGATATTAAGTTAGTAAGGTATATGAAGTCTCACGCTTAAAATTCCGAGTCGCAAACGCAGCTGAGAAACAGGTGCGTTTTTTATGATTTTAACTAGATATGCCAAATTATTTTTATATAATATTCTAATTAGGTTACTAAGGACACGGTTAAAACTACGACTAGACTACACTAGACAATTAGCATTTTAATAACGAACAATGATTATTTTACACAAATAGTCATTCTCACATAATTATTGGATTAAATTAGCGTACTTTATAAAAACAATTTTTATTGTTACATTATGTAAATACGTTAAAAACATCAATTCTTACTTAAAATATCACAAATGTATATTGTCTGTCCCCATATTTTCCTCGGGTACGCGTTACAAATGATGTCATTTCAAATCACTAGTATTATAATTATTTTTGTGTTGCATTAGAAAAAAGCAGATATAAAAATATATTGTCAAACTGAGACAAAACTATTGAGTATAACTCTACACCATTTCTGAAAGTAAAACGCCAAATGAAATTTATTAGGGTTGAATAAAAATGACTAGTGGCATCCACAGCAATGCGTATTGGTGCGAACTAAATAAAAGATACATATTTAAATAAAACATTCTTAACGGGTTTAAACACGAAATATTTAAAATTGTATTTTATTACGCGATAAGTAAGGTTTTTTTGTGTAATGGCCTTGGTTCGAACGGAGCAATGGAAGCTTAGGTTCGGCTCATACGAGCCCTGGGATTTTTTTAGGTTTCACAATGATTCGGATCGATCAATCAGCAAGAGTGACGTCACTCCACGCTCCAGTTGCGACTTGTCCAAGCCCGTCTGACAAATGTAGCGTTACGGTCTGCGGTCTGCTGCCGCGCCGTGAACTCTGCTCCGTTTTTTGACACTTGTTCCGATATTTCCGGAGTGAACTTTCCACGGGATCTATCGGTGTCGGATTATCTATTTCGATGGGTAGTGCATAGTGCAACAAAATCTAACACGAAAATGGTACGACATATTTACATAATTATGCGATAAAAATATATTTTTTTTACTGGTCTTTAAATGCAAAAGTGCGTGAGAGTCGAACGTACAACCATTACTTACCATGCTCTTACTTTATGAATAAATAAATCTGCTGTACTCAATAGCTATCTCTTTCTTTTCAATCAATTATTTATCGAGTTGAGTATAGACAACAGACTAGCGTTTTAAAGCGTTTTTTCTTAACATTTATCAATTTCAAACTCGAACAAACGTACTAATGTACCTAGATTTACTTAACTTGTAAAGAAGTATAATGCTATGGCAATAGATTAAGTATAGATTTGCTCAAAGTGAATTGAACAATGTAATGTCCAGCACAGATAAGCGAGGCTCGCCTAATTAGGAAGTGCGAACGTCATTCGGAAACAATCGCTCGCTTTTATCTCACCGCCAGGAGTGCTGTGGGAACTCACTTCACTTGGCTTAGATCAAAATTAACGTATAATGGAGTCGCATATTAATCGCTAGAATTCATTATTTGTCCTTTTCTGACTACACACGCTGTAATTTTCATACCTATCACTGTTTTTGTCGGCCAACCAACCAAATTCAACATGTTTTTACAAAATTTAGATTTTTTTAAAAACTTATTTTGTTAGACTTCGTCTGGAAAATCTCAATATTAGACAGAATCGACATCTAATTCCGTGCGGATCACGAATCACCTTTTACAGATGAAGACGGCGTGTCGCGGTTCGTGTTCTGATTGCCCTAAGCCAAAATAGATAACATTTATCAATATATATATATATATATATATATATATATATTCCTCTGTCATAAATAAAAATAATGCGTTTAATATTGCGTCTATATACATAAACTTCGCGATTATTCATAAAAACGATCCAAACCGTTTAGGAGGTAAGTACTTAGTTACTTACATTGTGAAATGATAATTCTTAATTAAGCTAAATATATTATTAAAAAAGGGCATAGGGATATGTCATATAAAAGATCCATGTAAGGTAATGAGGAAAATTTATGATAACCTTATAATATTAAGGCGATGTTTTTTTAATTATTCTCGTTAACTTTTATAAGTATGTATTAAGTTATTTATTGATACAAAAATAATTCATTTCGTCGTACTTATAACATTTTACATAGGTATGTCCCTCTTAAAGTTGTTCTTTGCGATTTTGTGTTAGTTTGTGACAGAAAAGTTTGAAAACAATTTATTTGGGTCTTCCTAAATAATAAATTGTATCTTTAACAATGAAATCGCTCCTAATAGTACACACATCAACGATAAAGGCGCACTTCTAAGTCTATATGTTTCTCTCATAATTAAAATAAATAACGAATTCATATCAACGATATCTGACTTTTAATCTTCGCTTTAAAAAGTTGAAATGCAATTAAGCCGATGCGTATGATAGTTCTTTCCTCCGAAGTCGAAGGGTGCATAATAAGGACAAGCGAAGTACATTTACTACGTGCGTTTTGCTACACTGGCCACGGTTGACTATTTACACTGCACCTAAAATGGACTCATAATGGCTACTCGTTTGTACGATACACCTGCTCGGCGTATTTGTTAGCAATAAAATTTATTAGTCGCTTTAATATGATCGAGTCTAGTACTTTGCAAAGGCTAAGCTTCGTTATCGACTCGGATGCAACCGTTGCACGCGTTGCACGTTCAGATAATATTGCTAATCGAGATGTAAACAATCGCGTGAACCTATCGACAATTACGTCTAATTCATAATAAAATATTCAATGCTGTAATCGTAAAACGTCCTATTGTTGGTGTCACTCAACTCTGGTACATCGAAGGCTAATGCTATAGGTACCAGGGTATTAGAGGCGTTATAGAGTTCGTACGTCGATAATTAGGATCGCATGATCTGCTCTGGTTTAAACCTAGATCTACCGGTACTAGGGTATGCAAAGCCTAGTGGACCTTGCAGAGATATAGACAGTTCGGATGCGTTAGCATACATGTACTATGTAAAAGGGGCATGCAGCATGGAAGTTGAAAGAGCACTGAAGGTCGGGCGTGAGGATATAGGAAAGAGAATACCTGATCACCGGCACCGTCAACTCGCATGCACTTATGACACTAGACACTCACTGTAGCCGGGCTTGTAGACGGCGCGGACCCTCCGCATCAACTTGGCGGTCCGTCTCAAGGGCGGACCCAGGGCCACGGCGGCGTGGCCTCTCCTCTCCGCGAACACGATATAGTTCCTTCGATTTTGTAGGGGCACTTCGAAACGACCAGAGCACTCCAGCGAGTCCTGGGGCAATTTGAGCCGGATGATGGCGTCCTCCCTGGGCCAGCGGCCCTGGCGGCGGAGGACGCGGCGCACCTGCACCGTGGCGGCGTCTCTGGCGAGGGACTGCACGCGGGCCTCGAAGGCCGCCGGGGCCCGGTAGGCGCGCCACGCGACGTCCGCCCGCTCGCAGTAGAGGCGGCGCGGCGCGGCCAGGCTGCCAGCGAGGCACAGCAGGGCCCAGCAAAACGCCGCGCGGCCGCACGTCTTCATCGCGCCATCGCAGCGCACTAGTCCGCGTCGCTCTCGTGGCGACCCTGGCACGTCGACAGCCGGCGCGCGACTGCTCGCCGCCGCTCTCCGCCGATTCACGCCGATTCACGCCCCGCCGAACCGAAATAGTCCGCACGCGCCGATCTATCTCGCCCGATCGTTCGTTTGCGGCGCGACTCTAATTAGCGGCGCGCGACCCTCGCATCTGCTTTTCGTGCGCACCTACCCCTAGCACTTGCGAGCCTCGCACGGCGAAGGTGTTTAGAAATACAGCCTTTTATTCAATATTGTCACAAAAATTTAAGGTAAGTAGTAGAGCATATAAATTAGAGAGTAGAGCATATTTTCACTTATGATACATGATATAAATCTCCATTCTTCATTTATTTTGATGTTTTAATTATGCAATTAATCTTAAAGTTTTATAAGAACCGCTTTAAAAGTACAAAAAACTATTTAAAGAAAAATAACATTCATTCATTTTCATTCATTCATTCATAGGTTTTCATTTGTATGGAAGGAAAAACATTTTCTATTGTAATAAACAAAAGGCGTTACTAGCTTTTCGTGACTCACAAACCTTTGAACGAAACATTCATCTGAATGTGAACAACCATAAAAACTGCATATTATTATAATATTTACTAACAGATGAATTATTATAAGATTTTTGGCTTTACGGGTAACCGGATATAGACAACTAGAATAAACCCGTAACGTGTTTTCGTAGCGAAGGCTTCCACGGAAGTAGTTGAGCGTAGAACGCTACGCTCGTAGACGTTACAAGCTACGACGTCTTGGTAATATTTAGTTCCTAGGACGTTATAACTAGAATAAGCCTACATGCATTTTTGACTTTCACTGGAGGAAACTAAATTAAATTTAGGAGGGTTCTGAAAAGTGCATGCGGTAGGTAAAAAAGAAACATTACTTATGAGAACTATTTAGTACACACGAAAAGAAAGAAAAGAAACGGTAGACAGAAAGGCCATAGTTGTGAAAGAAAGAAAGAAAATAAATGGCTTAAGACGTAAGCGCGGGGAATAAGGTAGAAACCTAAGCCTACCTACTAAACATAAATACTTTAAATCTTCAGATATATATCTTGTATATCATAACTATGTATATGTATCTGTACAACAGTAGAGGCTTATTTTTATGAGACACTACTAACTCTTGTTAGGAAGGTAATAGAATAATTAATTGTGCCGTAAGTGGTGATCCAAAGACAAAATGTTATAATGTTCTATATAATATGTTCTGCGTGATGACTTATATATGACGTATACTATATTATATGAGTCATAAAACAAAACGTTATTCTCAACCAAATAATTATTTACTCAGGAAGGAATGTTACTCAAACATCGTTTGTAGTATTGTTGAAACTAACACAACAGGTACGATCTATTGTTGACAAATAAATATTTTAAATTGTTTCTTTTTGTCAATGGAAATGGAAGGATCTTCTCACGGCTTCCGAAGGCCAAAAAATATAATATACCCGACTCCTTGTGCCTCTTCATCTAGGCGAATTTAAGGATTTAAATTTACGTGAAAAATTATATACGAAGAAAATAAATATTTGTCTCGAATTCGTAAAATATATTTGCTCTCAGACTTTTAGTTTTCCCGAGAAATCGAACCTTTTAGCGTCAATAAAAACCTACCCAACAAGTAGAGGCGTTTTTAGTTATACTTACTTTTTTTATTGCTAATTTGTAAATATCATCGTGATATTGTGATAATGTAAATATTAAAAATTTTGAAACTATTTTATCGTTATTGAACAAACTTAAAACAATATGACTTTGAATAGCGCAGTAAAACTCTTTCCGAGCATAAGGACACACTTCTATCACCGTTTTACTTTGATTTAATCTACATGGATAAAGTAATTGAGATGTCGACAAACTTTTGCAACTTTTCGAAACGAAAATAGAGATATTGACAAATTTTGACATTTTTTACATAACAAGAAAAGCCGCGGGCGAATGCGACTAATAATAATGACGCTTAAACCTCAATAAGAAGATATTCCTAGAAAGTGAGTTTACAAATTCCCATACACCTTTAGTCCACCTAACGGTGCAATTCTCATATATCCGGACAGAAAAAACCTAGAACGGAAATTTACCCTTATTACTACACTACGATCTCAGGTAGGTTTCATTCATGCGCCGTCAATGAACAGGCGCATGGCTTAAAAAAAACTAAACAAAAAACACGCAACTTTGTCCCTTGTCCAATCCGGGCCTATTTGTATTTCTATAAAATGTATTAAGAATATCATGATAGTGTAGTATTGTCGGTATGTAATTATTCTTTTTAAAACACTTTCTATAACGATAAAAAACTTTTATACTTATAATAAATCTTTAATACAAATATTTTGTCACACCTCACACCATTTCAATGATTAATTTAAAATTATATGCTTTTTTGCAATAACCGATTAAACACATTTTTAGTCTGTATATGAAACTCTAGGAATTTTGTAATAACAAATGAGTTTGTGGTACTATTTTTTTAAAGACGGTTTTGTTTTTATTATTTTATTATACTAATAAATGAACATAAGTTAAACCGTTTTTTGACAACAGCAAGTGTTGTGCAATGCTTGTAATAGATAGAACCACCACTTCTATGGAAATGAAAAATTTGCCCCCATTGGCATGGGCAACGACGCAAATTATTCATAGATATAGAAAAATATACAAATAATTGTTATGCCCACTCCTAACTAATTTTCATAATTCTCCTGACAAATGTAGTTATTTTTACCTGCACACCCGTACTATTTGAATCTGCAAATAATTTGTTAACAAAGGCATTAGTTCCTCCTCTAATCTTTGTTGGCAAACACGTGGAAGCAATTAAGCAAAGGTGTGAGAAAGTTTGTTACACGGTTCCCGATTATTTTCCTTTGTAAAGAAGCCTTATCGGTGCACCAGATGCGCAGGTTCAATTGCAAGACGATTTACCTTTTGTTACTTCTACACGTGTTCGGGATTAACTTATTAAATTAACAACGCGCACTAATTACTGACAGGTATACAAAAGTATACAACCTTAAAGGAATAGTTTAGGCAAAACACTTTCAGCGGTTTAAATGACTCAACGTTCCCAACGCTTTTTTTAAATGTGTACTACAAAGACAATCTTTTATTAAAATAAAATTATATTAAACTTAGTTTACAGCTTTACTATTAGTTAAGTGAAATAGTCATCGATATAAGTATGTATAATACTCGTATCACCTGAAAACGACAGAAGGAAGAGTCTGAGTCACATTTCAATAGACTAGTTTAAAACATGTATAATTGAATTTCATAATAATTTATTGTAACTACGGCTGGACCTTTCGGATGCTTTGCAGCAACCGTGTTCACGGGGGGACTGAGAATGGAGAGAGTTACTATTATCAAATTAAAAACTGCTACGCTAGTGCCATCTGTTCCGTCAGAGTTTATATACACATAGAAGATAGATAGATAATAAAGACGGATATCCCAGTATTTCTGGCAGTTCTCAAAGCTTTTTACGAAAGCGCGTGCATGAGGCGGGCTTAGGTGGTCGCTAGACGCGATTCAAATACTCGGCACTCAGTCGCATGGCTTATATCCTTCACACCTGCGACTAAATATAACTCCAGAGACGCGCTACTATGAACTCGAAATCGACTTTGACTCGTCGAAGAAATCGAAAATTTCGAATGAGTTTTTATTGTATCAGTAGTCACTTGATAAATAATATCATATCTTTACGGCTTCGTCGCTCTAATAGCAATACATGGCTAATGAACAACTTCTCGTGGGTTCGATTGATTCCAGGTCCAACAGTTGTAATTTTTCTGTAATATTGTCGGGTTTCGTCTGGAAAGTCAAGATATTAAGTGGGTGGATTAGGGTACTTGACCTTCAAATCTTCCAAGTGCTCCGTTTTACTGTATTATAAAAAAAAACTCGTATGCATTTGAAATTCCTACTAAGTACGAGTATGTTTATTCTGACAATGTTTAAGCAGGCGAGGAATTTAAAAGAAGCACCAAATAACGAAGCCTTCACTTACTTTGGGACACAGGACTTGCTGAAGTTTACGCAAAATAAAATCTTGGCTATTCTTAAACAGATATTAATTCGAGTGACTCCTTGAGAGATGTGAGTGAGAACCGATAGTAGCCCATCCTTGATAGTCGGCAAGTGCCCTCACCTTATCCCGTGACACTGATGAAATACGTTACAATACGTAGAAAATGGGTTGATCTTTCAAAAATTACTTTCATAATGAAGTTATCTAAGTTACATTCCACGTTTACAAATTTTAAATTCGACAAATGCTAAATAATAAGTACAATAGTTTGAATGGTATTTTAACTCTAACCGATTGTATAAAATCGGGTATACGATTCCGCTTGCCCAAAGTTAAAAATCAACGTCAAACATTTCCATTTACAGTTTCAGTTCTAAGTTCTTTTGGAGTTCATACAACCTAAGAAACCTTAAGACCTAAGTTGCAAAACCTCATAAAACTCTTCGATAATATTGCGCATACGCTATTACGATACGATTTAGTTTAATCCAAGAATCCAGCCATTTGCACATGCAAAACACGTTGCAGCGTTAAGATAAATTTGATGAAAGATAAATATTTCTTCAATCTTCATTTCGCTCCAATAAAAACGTAGAAATTACGATAATGCTCTTGTTTATAATCCGTTGATTACATTCGTGTGGGAAAATCGAAATTCGTATTGCGTGTTAATTATATTGGTGAACTTCTAAATCGAGGCTACCGTTGCACAAAATAATTAAAAAGTTCGAAGTAACTTTACTAACAAGACTTGACTTTGAAATGCGGAGACTAGAAATCTGCACCAGCATCTATTTCAATTTTTTTCTCATTCAAAGTACTATGTAAAATAATAATATGGATTAACATATTGTATTTTTGTCTAAAAAAAATATTTTTTTATGATAGAATAGAACAGACAAGCATGG